TTTTTAAAAAAAAAAAAAAAAAAAAAAAAAAAAAAAAGACAAGCCTGCTGCCCTTCCCCTTCCAGGACAGAAGCTCTGAGACTGCACCTTATACACAAACTCCTCCATCTTCTCCATGGCATGGTGGGCTTGCAGGGGAAGTGTCAATACCCGCACCTCCTCCTCTTCTTCCTGGGGCACTGGGCATGCTTGATCTTCTTCAGCCTATAGGAAACAAACAAGCAAACAAAAAACAATCTGGGGAGTCATCTCATAAACTGTGCTACTCCAGATCAGAGATCCTGAGAAATCCAAACCTAACGCTTTCTGCCCAGCGTGTTTGCTACACAGGATTTTGTCACTATCCCTCAGCCAATCAGGGAGCACATCATATGGGAAACTATATACCACACAGGGTCCTGTGGCCTCTTCTCCAAAACATGATACTTACCGAGTTTACATTACTTATTATTATTATTTTTTTTAAAAGATGACTGGTAAGGGGATCTTAACCCTTGGCTTGGTGTTGTCAGCACCACGCTCAGCCAGTGAGCAAACCGGCCATCCCTATATAGGGATCCGAACCCGTGGCCTTGGTGTTATCAGCACCACACTCTCCCGAGTGAGCCACGGGCTGGCCCTTACATTACTTATTAATACTTCTAGATTTATTAATACTTTGTAAATGCTGGAGTGGAAGTTCTATTCAGCATACAGGAGACAGACTGACGGAGACTAGCACTGGAGGGACACAGGATTAGCACACCAGCCTAGGTGTTCTTTAAGACTGAATGACCCATCCTTTTCTCTAGGACAGTGGTTCTCAATTTTCCCCAATTTTCCAAATAACTTTCTCTTCTAAGACACTAAATTTTCAAAACAATGAAGGAGACACAGAGTCTCAAAGATTTCCTTCACAATAACTCTGTTCATTGACTCTGGGGATGCTATCATGACTGAAGCTTTGTATACATAGTAGCTCCCAGGAGTATCTGGGCCACAGAAGTGGTTCCACAGAAAGCAGCAGTACCGACTCCTGGGTCCAAAGGAGTGTACCCAGGAGAGAACTTGCCTGTAAAGGAGAGACACCTTTCTCTCCATCCCAAGGCTCCAAACCATGGAGATGGAAAGCCTGGCAATTGAACTCCTTCTCTGGGCTATTCTGTCTCTTTCCTGTTGATGGCCCCTGGTGAACACATGGTCCATCTTAGATTTTGTGATATTCAGGCTTGTCTACCCCAATATCAATTCTCTCTCTTTTCCTAAGTAACAAAGTCCTTGGTTTTATTTAGGGTGGCAGTGTTATTACATTTTTACTCAGGTCCAGGGAAAAGACTACATTTCCTAACTTCCACTGCAGAAGACTATAACTATGTAACTAAGTTCTGGACTAAGTGTGGTGGGATACTTACTGGTGGTGGTCTCTTTAAAATGGAAAGAATGGGCCCTTCTCCTCCTCCTTCCTCCTTGGTGGTGGGTAAAATGTGGGTATGACAGGCAACAAATTAAGAATGATGGAGGAGCAAGACAGGTGCCCGAGGGGAGTGGAGCCTCTCTACCAGCCTTGCATTGGCTACTCCCAGAATTCTTTTCCTTGAGAGACTTCTATTTGATCAAAGTTACAGGAACTTATGTTTGTTATATGAAGTCAAACCTAATCCTGATTGACTGCTTCCTTCATTCACTCACAGACCTTTATTGATTAATTATTGGATTTCAGGCCTTGTGCTAAGCACTTGGGTTACAAAGATGAGTGAACTCTCAAAAGCTTACAGTGAGAAAAACAGACAAAAAGATACTTTAATATAGCATGATAAGGACTTTGGTAGAGATACTGCCAAGGTGTTACGGTTCCTCATTTTGGAAGGAAGATCTTAAAAAATAAACATTGACAGAGGTCTAAGGAGAGATGTTGGTCAAGGGAATGAATCCTAGGAAGACGACTTACTTTGGTTGGGTTGGCGATTACCCGTTTGCCCTTCTCTTCCAGCAAGGGTCCCAGTTCAGCCAGTTCCACCGTGTCAGTTTCTCTGTTACTGGCAGGAGCCCCATTGCCCTGTGCCACCACAGATCCTTTGTGGGAAGACATCTGGCTGGAACCTCAGTACCCTGCAGCTTCAGCTTGGGGAAAGGTTGGGGTCTCTCAGCCCCAGGGGGCAGAGATCTCCCTGTGATGGTAGACACTAAAAGCAAACACAAACATGAAGGGTTTTGACATTTATTCCTCTTATAGTTTCATTTCTAAAATTTAGTATTGAATAAGACACAGCTCATCAATCCATACCCTGTCTCTTGTACTCTTCTTTACAGTTAATCATGTAAATGAAATCTATTCCTTGTCCTCCCTCTTTAATATCACCCTAACCTAAAACCTCACTAATCTTACAGATAAGGCTGAAAATATAACACCTAGATACTTGCCTTCAAAGGATTTGTGGTTACTGCACCAAACTGTCACCACAGAAAAACAGCTCCCACCCTCAACTCCCTCCCATAGGTATGAAAGCCCATTTAATGAGAAGAGTCTTGCCTACCATTCCCAAAACTCACTCTCCCCAAGAAAGGCCTCACTCTGAGACTGAGGAACAAAATTATGAAGCCAGCACCTTCCTGCAATTACTACTAGATCGTCCAGGCTTAGAAATAAATTAAATGCTAACTGAGGGCTGGCTGGCTGGTTAGCTCCCCAAAACTCACTCTCCCCAAGAAAGGCCTCACTCTGAGACTGAGGAACAAAATTATGAAGCAAGCACCTTCCTGCAATTACTACTAGATCATCCAGGCTTAGAAATAAATTAAATGCTAACTGAGGGCTGGCTGGCTGGTTAGCTCAGTTAGAGTATGGAGTTGATGAATGCCAACTTAACTCATCTGGGCTCCATCTACAAATGCTCTAACAAATGTGTCTTGCATACAAAAGGAACCTCATTGTGGGATGGATGCATAGTGGTTAATTTCTCTGCAAGGTCTACTAATTCTATTATAGGATTATAACCTGGGCTCAATATCTGGATAACACGCTTTCATCACAATCTCTCCTTAAAGCAAGGAGTAACTTACCTGGAAGCAGGAAGTTTAAGACAAGGAGGCAGTTCCAGATTTGCCCATTGCCACACACATACCTAATAACCGGTTCTGCGAGAGCTTGTCCCAACCACCAAAGCCCATAATCTAAATCACATTCAAATTAGCTTTTCAGAAACTAGAGACAGGCACATAGATCGTTTTGGAAAAACAGAGAAACCCAGAAATTCAGTTTTCTAGGAAAAGTCCATAGACACACTTTAGGTTTTTCCTTGGTTGGACTTAAGGTCTTTAATCAGGCCTCAGGGAGATGCAAATAATATTCAAAAGAAGGGAAAGTTTCCAAAGATTTCTACTATGTTGTAAATTACTAGTTCTGCACTCCCCCCACCCCTGACAAAGGACTCTATTGCTCATAGCAATAACAGCAGCCAGAATATTTTCTTGCACTAGTTATCCAAGCCCCAGTAACCACAGGGTAATGCAAAGATGGCCAGGTTACACCTGCACATAGAGTGGGCTGCTTTACAGAAAAGGAAACTTAAGCTTAGGGAGACCAAATCTTTTATACTGGTCAGTAAACATGACTTTGCTCCCAAGGGAGACACTATATCATCCACAGCTGTTCACTGTGTACACATCTTTGACTTCTTATACTAATTCCTTTTTAACCACGAGTAATCACAATCCTTTTCAGGGATTATAATTATATATGTAGTCAGGTGTGATGGCTGATTTTAGGTGTCAACTTGACTGGATTAGGGATACCCAGATAGCTGGTAAAGCGTTATTTCTGGATATATCTGTGACAGTGCTTCTGGAATAGATTGGCATTTGAATTTGAGTGGACTAAGTAAGGAAGATCCACCCTTACCCAATGTGGGCAGGCACCATCCAACTGGCTGAGAGCCCAGACAGAACATAAAGGCATAAGAAAGGCGAATTCATGCATGCTCTCTCTTGCAGAGCTGGGACACCCTTCTTCTCCTGCTCTTGGATATCAAGAACTCCAAGTTTTCCAGCCTTTGGATTCTGGAACTTGCACCGGCAGCCCCCTGGGTTCTCAGGGCTTTTCTGCCTTGGACTGAGAGTTACACCATCAGCTTCCCTGGTTCTGAAGCCTTCGATATTGAACTGAGCCATGATACCAGCTTTTCTGCTTCTCTGTCTTTTTTTTTAAAAGATGACCGGTAAGGGGATCTTAACCCTTGACTTGGTGGTGTCAGCACCACGCTCTCCCAAGTGAGCTAACCGGCCATCCCTACAGGATCCGAACCCACAGCCTTGGTGTTATCAGCACCGCACTCTCCTGAGAGAGCCACGGGCCAGCCCTCTGCTTCTCTGTCTTGCACATGGTATATCATGGGACTTAGCCTCCATAATTGCATAGGGCAATTCCCCTGATAAATCCCGCTTCATTTATCTACCTGTATATATATCCTATTGGTTCTCTCTTGAGAACGCTAATACATCACATGAGGGCAATCCTCAAGTTTCAGAACAGTCAGGAGTCATGCTGTGCTCAACGCACAAGCACAGCTGAAAACAATGGGGAAATCTAGTCCGAGAGAGACAAAAACAATAACTGACTGTACAGCAGAACTTCCTACGGCATCAACACATAGACAGTTCCTCTTCCTTTAAATGTGCAAGACTCTGACAAGACGGATGCCAGCACACAGTCATCGTCAACAACTGAGCTCAGGGAGAACAGGAAACTAGAGTTTCCTGAATACCTCAGGAGATAGGCAAGCCACATTACAAGAAACATTAGGAAATCTTTCCCGATAGGCTGACTTCAAAACATACAGGAAATTATAATTGAGCCAAACTCCGTGGAGTGCATTTTTGATGGGATTTCTTTAACTCAAGCTAATAACCCTTTACCACTAAGCTTTCCAACTGGTTAAACCTAGGATATTAAAGAGTAAAGCTGTGGAGGCAGGGAGGTGTTTATGCTCATACAAATAAGATAATCCGGTGCCAAACTTGGAAGAAAGATTGATTCTTAATCACCAGCCAGCTAGCTGGAGAGTAATTTTCCTTACGTGTTTTGGAGACATTTATTCTGTGAACCAATTCCCAAGTGTTCCAGGATATAGCACACTCCCTCCCTGGAGTCAAAGGCATAAAGCTACTTCTAGGAGTTTTTTGTTTGTTTGTTTTGGTTTTTTTTTGGACCGGTTAGGGGATTGCAACCCTCTGCACGGTGTGGTCCGCACCACGCTCAGCCAGTGAGTGCACCGGCCATCCCTATATAGGATCTGAACCCGCGCCCTCGGTGCTATCAGCACCTCACTCTCCCGAGTGAGCCACGGGACCGGCCCCTTCTAGAAGTTTTTAATCTGGGGTCCCTGGATTCCATGGGTAGCCTCTATCTATGCCTACCTTGATTCTCATTGTTTTAAAGCAAGACAATTCTAGCAGTATAAAGACCATAGCCATCTTCTCCTCTATCTACCCTTTTCTGTTAGGGAGGGTAGTTTCATAGCTTTGTTGGAGGAAAAATGAGTCAAGTCTTTGTTTCAAATTACCAAATAGTAGCAATGGGGCCTCAGCTCTCCTACTTGATGCCCAGTGTCACTAACTTAAAAGTCTGAATTGAAAAATCACAACCTAACTTCCTTTGTAGCTCTTCCCCAATGAAAGCTATCCCAACAGAGAGGTCTTTTTGATGCCTAACAGAGGCAGGTAAACTTTCCTAATACTGTGACCAAAAAAACCTCCCAGTAAACAGACATATACAGACATATGAGGGATTTTCATGCCAGTGTCTGTTTTTTAATACCCCTCTTTCAGGTACATTACAGATATACGTTCAATACAGTTACACAATATAGCACTCACTTTAAACTGTGTACCTCAGATTCCCCAAAGAAACAAAAGCAAACTTGGTGCATGCCTAAAAGCCAATCACTTTGGACTGGTTTGGTGAGAGGGCACTTTCAAGGGTCATTTCAAGTCAAGATAGCTACAAACTTTATAAACATTAATCATGCCCCCAACATTTGTGAGCAGGAAAAGGAAATCAACTTTAAGCATGGTGAGAGGAACAAAGTCCAGATTGTGACATTAGGGACAAAAGAACATTAAGGACAAAATATAACAATGTTGAAGCCCCCTGCTCTGGAGTAACAACTTTGATGAATACCAGCTCCAGAAAAAACCCACCATAATTAACAAAGCTTTTAAATACAAAGATGACTGTTTAGTTCCCTAGTGTGATCACAAGTAGACAGGATAACATAGCAAGAATGTTGAAGAGTTTCAGTTTGGCTTTCTACTATAGGAGTCAAAGGAAATTTCCTAGGGAAACAACAAATTTAGTGGCCTAGAAAGAAGGGCAAATTCTATCCTTCATTAATCTGAGAATATAACTGTTTATTACTATTGATTATTTACAACATGCATGGTGGTGTGGGTACAGAAACAACACCATGCATACTGGCCTTGCTGTGGATTGATTGAACTGTGTTCCACAAAGCTCACATAATAGAAGCTTAATCCGTTGTAACTGTTGAGGGTGGGAAATCCTATTACAGTAATCGAAAGGTGGGGACTTGAAGAGGTGATTAGATTGTAGGACCATGCCATAGTGAATGGATTAATGGTGGTGAGGGGTGTGGTTCTGAAGGTGTTAAAAGGAGACCACGTGAGTCTCTCTCTGTTCTGCCATTTACTACCATGTGAGACCCCTGCATTGTTGAAAAGCCACCACCAAAAAAGACCCTCACATAAGGGTTCTCTAGACTTTGGACTTTCCAGCCTCAAAAACTGTAAGCAAGAAATTTCATTTTCTTACAAATTACCTAGTTCCAAGTATTTTGTTTTAAGCAACAGAAACAGACTAATACAGGTAAAATAAGAGGGGAAAATAACTTCTGTTTTCTACTAACATTGCTATAAGGCTAAGTGCCATTAAATGCTGGAGGAATTCAGAAAAGCTCAATTTTATTGAAGTGATCAGGAAAGTTTTGTGGAAGATATTAAGAAAGAATCTTGATAGGTAGAGATGGGAGCAGGGCATTCCAGGAGGATATGTGATATGAACAAAGGGTTGAAAGAACACAGCCCCCAGGGCAATGAATAATCCACTTTTCCAGAAGGGAGTCTTACTTAGGTAAAATGAGGCCAGACTGAAGAGAACTGAAGATAGCCTAAAAAGCCTACTTAAGGTGATGTACTTTATCTCTCAGAAATGGAGAGCATAGTGGATTAATTAATGTTGCTTCCTGTTACTTTTCTGAGATTCCTATGTGCAGACAAAGTGGTCGCTTATTTATTTTTTATTCCTTGGGAATCATATAATTTCTTGATGACTGAGAATGCTTTCAGATTCTACTCTGCAATTAGGTATAATTTTGTGGAGGTCTACCCTAAGTTGTATCTTCACAGATAACACCAGTTTTTAAGACTGATTGCCCAAGTCCCAACCACAATGGCCACATAGAAGTTACTTCTGGAATAAAGAAATTTAGTGGCTGCAAGCTGGGAACCCTGACATTGCAATCTGTTTAGTGCCACCCTGTCTAAATTCCTGGCAGTGCACAGATACTACAAAACCTCATGAACAGCAGTTGCACCATCAGCCTATCCAACCACTATCAAAAGAAAAAAGCAGTTAACAACCCTACTATTACTTCATTTCAGAAAAGAACCAGCCATTACAGTCTTTATTTGATTTAAGACGGCAGCCTATGTATTCACTGCTGTGTTTTCTAGGATAAATACTTAAGGGAAATACTATGGTTAATGGCCTCCCATTGCTTCTCCGACATCTGAAACTGGGTAAACTGATATTGTCCTTGTCAGTTTCCCATTCTCCCATGCAGCACAACAAACTGAGGGAAAACACTTATCTGTTTTCTTTTCTTAAAAATCAAAGGATTGAAGACCAAAATTCTTAAACATGAGATAACATACATCAATCTAGATTTCTAATGGAATGAAATTTAGTTTCTCCCCAGAGTAGTTTAGGGTTTTCTCACATTTCAGTTTTTAGGATTATCTTAATCCCATAGATTGTCCACCAACCTCTCCTCTGACCCCATCAAGGTGGGACCACTGTCACGGTCTGATCTGCCAAAGAGGAACCTTAGGACTTCCCCGGCCACCAAGGGCGGGTGTCCCCAGCCAGACCCGCACCCCCCTAACCCTTGGAACTAGGCTTAGCTCTGGCTGTCCATTCCCGACTTAGGGTCGGAACTCGGACATCTCAAGCCCCAGCGGAGCTGAAGACGCAGCACTCACCAGGGCTGATGGGAGTCGGAGACAGCCGGGCACCCAGACTGCTTCGGAGGCCGCCTCGGAGGCGGCGCGCTGTGGGAGGGGCCGGAAATGTTTACAACCCCGACCCGCAAGAGCCCTGAGGCCCGGCCGGCTCCAGGGCGGGGTCTGGGACCCTCGGGACGTCGGGGCGGGTTACCCCCACGGCTGTCCCCTCTTTAGGCCTGGGCTGGGGCTCCCGGGGTCCCTGCGCTCAGGCCGAGTGCCTGCCGACCGGTCAGCTCCGGGGAAACTTACGGCAGGGCGGGTAGGCTCTGCTGGGGGCCGCCGTCCCCCGCGCTACATCCCGCGGCGTTGGCGGCGGCCTGCGGCCGAGCGGCCCGGGATCCTCAGCGGCCTCCCC